CTCCTCCGCTTCCTCCGCTTCCTCCGCCTCCTCCGCCTCCTCCTCCTCCTCCTCCTCCTCTTCCTCATCCACCTCCTCCCCCTTTTATTATTAGTACTACTATTACTATCAGTATTATTAGTATTAGTAGTATTAGTAGTATTAGTATTATTAGTAGTAGTAGGAGTAGTAGTAGTAGTAGTAGTAGTTGTAGTAGTAGTACTAGTAGTAGTCGTAGTAGTAGTAGTCGAAGTAGTAGTAGTAGTAGTAGTAGTAGTAGTAGTAGTAGTAGTTTTATTATTAGTATTAGTAGTAGTAATAGTATTCTTAATAGTCGTATTATTGTTAGTTTTATTCGTACGATTCGTATCATTGTTATTTCAAAAAGTAATATTGAAAGTATCAGTGGTATTAGTATTAACATTAGTAGCATTAATGTTATAGTATTCAGTTTATTAGTATTGTTGGTATTATGCGTGTTGTTCTTCTTAGTCTCAGTAGTATCATGATTCGTATTCTTTTCCCTTAAAATCAGTATTAGTCGTAGGTGTATTACTGGTATTGTTAGCCACAGTATTCGCATTACTACTACTACTAGTATTACTGTAATTAATATTAATAGTATTAGCATTATGAGTATTACTGTTATGTTCATTATTCTTCTTAGCATTAGAGTTATTACTCGTAGTATTATGATTCTTCGTGTTAGCCTTGTTATTCGTAGCATTAGTATTATTATTAGTATTATTATTAGTGTTACTATCCTTCGTCGTATTAGCATCATTATTATGAACATTAATATCAGTATTGTGATTATTATTCGTGTTATTGTTATTACTCTTCTTATTAATATTCGTATTAATATTATAATAAGTATCCCTTCTATTATTCTCATTAGTAGTAATATTATTATTATTCGTATGGTTATTATTATTTTTAGTGATGTTATTAATATTCGTCACATTTTCCCTGGCATTATGATTATTCCTAGTACTCTTAATATTATGATTCTTATTCGTATGCTTATTTGTCGTATTATTTCTTTCTTACTAATAATATTCTTATTACTCTTAGTACTATTACTCTATCCTCCTGCCCCTCCCCCTCCTGATCCGCCTCCTCCTCCTCCTCCTTCTCCTCCTCCTCCTCCTCATCCTCCTCTTCCTCCTCCTGTTGGTTAGCCATCATACAATTGACTGCGAAATGGGCGAAAGTGTATTGCGAAAGTGTATTAAATCCTCTCCGGCCTCCTAGTGAGCATTCTGGTTCCCGGCTTTGTCGACAAAACCGCGCTCCGCTACCATGCAAATCTAACAGACCGATGGCACCGAGAATTTTTTTTTCAGTGGATGGGCAGCACGAGGTCGCGGGAGTGTGCCCTGCACCGACGTGGGGCGGTCATAAATATTGAACCACAAATTCCAGCAGCTGTACAGTAGCATGAGGTCCATATTGAAACAGTTCCTCCTTCTCCTCCTCGACCTCCTCCTCCTCCTCCCCTTTCCTTTTCCATAATGAATAACTCCTCCCTGGAAGAGCGGGCTGGGCGTTTCGCCTGAGACGTCCTCGACCATTCTGATCATTAAGCTGAAAATTCGCAACCACTTCACGGATGGAGGGCGGGTCGTTTTCAAGATGTGCCTCTCGTTTTAGCGCCGCGCACATCCGATTTGAACAGATGCAAGAATTTCACGGATGGAGGGCGGGCGGTTCTCAAATGTGGTTCTCGCCTCAGCGCCGCGCACACTCGTCCTGAAAGTTCGCCAGCGTTTCACTACCTTTTCAAAGTGTGGCTGTCCCTAAGCGCCGCGAACATTTGTCTCAGCAAATAACAAGAGCTTCATGGATGAAAGGCGGGCGATGTTCAAAATGTCGCTCTCGCCTGAGCGCTGCGCACATCTCGCCGCGCAGATTCGTCTTAAGAGTTTCCAACAGTTTCAAAGGTTCTTATGGATGGAATCCCAGAAATAATGTTTTGGCACGACGGTAGGACTGTCAGGGAGAAACAGGTATGTTGATTCGCGGTGTTGAGTCCCAAGGTTGGTGTTCTGGCGCAGCTCAGGATCGCCAGCACGCAACAGTAACGTTGATTCGCGGCTTTAAAGTCCCAAGAAAAATGTTCTGATACGGTTCATGAGTTCCAGACGTTGTCTTCCAATTGAGCACTCTCATCAGTGAAGATGAACCATTGTGGTGACTTCTGAAGAAGGAAGCCAGAGGGCAGGTTTATTGCAACATCGTTGATGATCCTCGGGTTTACACTGGTCCTCCTCCTCCTCCTCTTCCTCGTCGTCATTACAGCAATCATAATCTCACTCATCCTCCTCCCCTTTTTCTCCTCACGTCATCATCATCATCATCATCATCATCATCATCATCATCATCATCATCATCATCATCATCATCATCATCATCATCATCATCATCATCATAATCATCATCTTCCTCCTCTTCCTCCTCCTCCTCCTTCTCCTCCTCCTCCTCCTCCTCTCCCTTCTCGCTTCCTCTCCCCCCTCCTCCCGTTCCTCGTGCTCCCTGAAGCGGCGGGCGGAGGCGGCGCCCCGCGCGGAGTGGCCACGTGGGGACGCGCGCCTCGTCCAGCGTGGCCCCGCGCTGACCCAGCGTCAGCAGCTCGGTCGGCTCGCCTCGCCCCCCCGGGCTTCCGCTCGCCTCCTCCCGCCCTGCCCCGCTCCCCCTGGCTCGCCGTCGTCGTCGTGCGTCCTCCTCCTCCTCCTCGACCCCGATAACCCGGCAGCTCGGAAGACAGTGCGCCATGCATGGCACACGGCAACCTGCAGGGAAGGATCTGCGTGCCCCTCGCAACCCTGAGCTCACGGCCAGACCCCGGAAAGCGACGCATGGACCGGTCTTGTCGCCAGTCCCAGGTATGAGGCCCCTCGTGAGCTTCCTACTCCCGGGCAAAGGAGCACACGCGCATGGATTCAGAAGCCTCTGTCCTCTATCCACTGTCCTTACAGAGAACTCGTCCTCGTTTTATCACCAGACGTGTTGGTAGGGTGGGCGGGGAATTTCGCAGCACTCTTCCTCGCAATGTATGATCCTGAATCTTGAAATTTGCAGCGCTTACGAAAACGAAGGCGGGTGGTTTTCAAAATGTAGTTGTTGACTTCGCGCCGCGCGCATTCGTCTCGAAAGCTTGCAGCAGATTCAAGGATGGAGGGCGGCTGCTTTACAAAATGCGGCTCTCGCCTTAGCGCCGCGCAAACTCGTCTTAGACGCTTGCAGCAGTTGTACTGAGGATGGCTCATGTTTTGAAAAACAAAATGTCATATGGCACGTCACAGAAATCAAGAGCTACACGGATGGAGGGCTGCTACTTTTCAGAATAGATTCTCGCATGGGACATCCTCAAGTCCCACCAGCCCTCTGGACGTAGGTGGTTAAACGAGTTGTGTTTCTCCCTGCCAAAACCCTTCCTTCCCCTTCTCGGGGGAGGGCCTTACCCTTCCCCCTACCCCCTCCCCTGGGTCTGGACGGGGCGCCCTGCGAGGGGTTAGAGCGCCCAAGATTGCCCAAGATGGCTCCAGGAGGGCCTCAGAGAGCGCAAGATGGCCTCCAAAATGGCTCAAGATAACTCAAGATGGCTCAAGATACCCGTCGACGCACATTCAACTCAAGACGGCCCCGAGATTGTTTCAAGTGCCCCCCGAGCCCTCCAAGGACCCCCGCAAAAGGCCAAAACGGTGCCTTCTCGCCGTTTCGCCGCCGATGGGCCTCGGAGGCCTCCAGGTGGCCCTGAGGCGGCCCAAGAGAGCCCCAAGAGGGCCTCAAGAGGTCCCAAGAGGGCCCCAAGAGCACCCAAGAGCGCCCCAAGAGCGTCCCAAATCGGCCACAGGACATCATGT